TTGGCCTCAGAAGCTCTGCAGTGGAGTGAACAGGTGGGTTTGTGTTCATCCCTCTGTCATGGCTGTGTCTACAGCTAGGGACCATTCTTAACACAGGTTATGGTTTTGACTTCACCGCAGCACACAGAAGTGACTTCGTGTGTGTGTGTGTGTGTGTGTGTGTGTGTCCATCTTGGCTTTCCTTTCTCCTTCCATCTTGAAAGGCCCACCCTTGGAGGAGAGACTTAATATTTGGCATCTTCCTCCTGCTGCGTGTGACACAGGCTGCTGCCTGAAGGATTCACTCCGGTACTTTGCCTCTCTGCAGACTCAAAGCCCACAGTTGAGACACTGGGACCCACCGTGAAGAGCGAAGAGACCACCACCCCGTACCCCATTGACGAGGAGGCCACGGACTGTGGGGAGAACTGCAGCTTTGAGGATGGTGAGGATGGGGTGGTGGTTGTGTTTCATCTGGGGTGGCATGGCTGCCGGCCAGTCACAGTGGAGGCTGGTCCATGGCTGGGGCCGGGAACTGGGGGTCCCTTGGTCAGAGGTCAGGAACGTGTGGTACTTAGGGGCTTGGGGCAGTGGCTATTTACAACCTATCTAGAAGGATTCAGATAATGGAAACACCAGTACACTGGTCATCAGCTGAAATAAGAGCCCATCCAAGGAGAACTCCATTGAGAAGTCTTCTTTCCGAGCCCTCACTTCCTATCTTTGGAATCCACAACCATGATTGCTGTGTCCACAGCACAGTCAAAGGGAGATCTGGCTGTCGGCTGGGTGACTTGGTCAGTGGAACACACTAGTTGGGCTAACTCAGCAATTAACCGTGACTTACCGCATTTCCCTGTGTTTTCACATCACTGGTAGAGAAGGCATGACGGTTATGACTCTTAAGAGTGGGCACTGCATTCTCCACAAGGCGAGTGAGGTCAGTGACAAAGGCAGAATTTCGAAAAGGCACTTCACTTGTCCCTCAACACTCAGGGCCTCTTCATTTCCCATCAACCTCGTCACACGGGAAATCTATATCATTTTCATTTTCTCTGCTAAGCATATCCAACTCAGATTAAGAAAACAATAATTGGCAGAGTCCAAGAAGGACACCACATTTTAAATCTTCCTGCTAAGGCCACAGAATATGAGGACATTCCTAACAAACCACAAATTTTGGAACACCTGGCATTTTTGACTAGGATTAAATGCTTGACAGCCTCAATTTACAGTAAATTGTTGATCATTATTAACTCTTCATTAAACCAAATGAGGGAAGATTGGTGAAGAGGCTGGGGAAGTGATGGAGACATAAAAACCTAGCACCCAGTCAGTGGATAGATGGATGGGAAAGTCTACGGAACCCATGCCCTTAGTCAATTGACAGTGTGAGGAACTGTGCTGATGGGGTAGACAGCTCCCAAAATGGCTACGAAGAAGAATGGGAGGAGAGCCAAAAATACATGCTGAAGTTGTATGACTGCAAAATGATAATTTAATGCATATGCTTTTAGGAATGCGCTTTTGTATATTGCGTGGGCTGGTGGTGGTGGGGGGGACACTCTTGGTCAGGGATAGTTGAATTCAGAATTCTGACATTTTAATGAACTTGTTTTTGTTTTATGAAGAGGAGAAAGAGACTTGGAGAATCTTCCAAGACATGTTTAAAAGAGTTTGAGAGCCAAGGGGGGAATACATTCATTTACTGTGTGGTGTTGGATTAGCAGAGTTAGCAGGGTGGAGGGCAAAAGGAAGGTTTTTATCTAAATGCCAATCCAAAGGAAAATTTAAGAGTTCTGTTGCAAATCAGAAGTTTAATATAATTTTCCTGCTTATAGTGTGGTTTGTCTCATTTGGGGTTTCTTTAGTGGTTCCTCCCTTCTCTCCCTCTCTCTTTTTTTAGCAAAAGATCTCTTTGTGGAATTGGGTTCCTGAGATACAGTATGCATATAAACATTCAAGAGGAATTATGCTATATTGAATTACTCCATATTTTTGAATGGAAAAATAGAAATTTAGAAGTTGTCGGGAGAAGGGAATGGTGAGGGCGAAGGGCTGACTTTTCCAAGCCACAGGTTGCTGTTGCAGTAATAGATTCCATGTGTTTGTTCTCCTGCTGACTTTGGCCAAGGATGGGCAAATATTAAATATTATTTCTTGGGAAGGGGAAGAGGCGAGCAGGACCCAGTGGCAATCTGCTGTGTGCCCCCAGGCCAGCAGGGCCCTCCCCTCAGAGGTGAGCCCTCCTCACCCCTAGGGTGGGAGCAGCTTGTTGCATCAGTCTGTTGTTCCCTTTTCACTTCCTAACCTGCATTCTAGGTCTTCCCCACGGAAATTCCTCTCTGGGAAGCCTGAGAAGGGAAGTGAAAAGGCCAAAGACCCCACTTCCTCCCTGCTCCCAGCATTGAGCAGCATTTTTCCGCTGTCTCTGCAGCCAAGAGTCCTAATTTGGGTTCCCATTTCCTTCCCCCCACCCCCAACTTCATCACATGTTTGGCACCAGCTCAGACTGGATTTTTAGAGCTGAGTGGAACCTCAAAAGAAACTCTTGGGTTCAGTCTATTCACTTAGAGGTGAACAGCCCTGCAGATGGAGACGAGCCATTGTGTGGTCTCCTCTTAGATTTCCATTCTCTGCTGCCCCTGGAATCCTGGCCTTGGGGCACTCCGAGCCATGTGAAATTATTCTTCCTCTTGATTGGCGCTGAGCTGGGTGGCAGGCTGGTCTGCCCCCACCCCCCTCCTTTTTGCCCTTAACATGCCAAGTTGCCCTCCTGGCAGCACCTCCCCCTGGGGATTCTGAACTGACTGGTCCCCTGAAACCAGAGACCTGGCTCAGGGAGGCAGACAAGCCCTCCTTGTTCCCGAGGTCACTTTCTCCTCCCCAGCCAGCACCTCCTGCATTCCGGATTCCAGCCTCTGCGGGTGCCAGCGGGCTGCCCATCACTGCTGACAGCCAGGCTGGCAGGATCCCACCTTCCACCGAGGCGCTGGGGAGACATTCTTCTCTGGCATTTAGCAAACAGCGATTTTCACATTTGTCTACTCTCCAAGGTGGACAGAAGAGGCTGATTAGAGCCTGCAGCCATTTGGTGGCCTCATTTATAATTGCTGACTATGGGAAGCACTGGCAGACTTGGCTTTCATGCCTGGGAAGGATGAGACCAAAGGCTGACCCGAAAGCCAACCATCGCCAAGATGGGTTCAATGAATAAGCAAAGGAGGCCACTGCTTTCGCTGCTCTCCCCTTAGGCCCTGCCAGCAGTTTAAATAGCACCACTGTGGCTGTTCTCCCGGCCCATTTCATTTGCCTTGTTTTGGGTTTTGTTTCCCTTGTAGACAAAGATTTGCAGCTCCCTTCAGGATTCAATTGCAACTTCGATTTCCCGGAGGAGCCCTGTGGTTGGATGTACGATCACGCCAAGTGGCTCAGGAGCACCTGGGCCAGCAGTTCCAGTCCCGACGACCGGACGTTTCCAGGTGAGCCAGCCGCGAGTGACGAGTTGATAGAGGACTTCCCTGGTGGCTTAGTGGTAGAGAATCCACCTGCAACGCAGGAGACACAGATTTGACTCCTGGGTCAGGAAGATCCCCTGGAGGGGAGGGAATGGCAGCACTTTCCAGATTCTTGCCTGGAGAACCCAGTGGACAGAGGAGCCTGGTGGGCTACAGTCCATGGGATGGCCAAGAGTGCGACATGACTGAAGCGACTTAACACAGGCACAAGACCAGACTGCACCGTGTTTTTCAGCTCTAGACTCCCTGGCGAGCTTGCTAATAACTCCCCACCTTGGAGCAGTCCTCTGCTCTTTGCCCACAAACCCCCAAGTCTTTGCTGACAACCTCACCCGACAGAACAGCTGGTTGGTGGTTCCCGGCCCTCTCTTGTGATTACCGGGCAGCCTGGAAGCTGGGAGGGAGGGAGAGAGGCTAAGGTAAAGAAGAAGAAAGAGCAGCTGGGAGTTCCTAGGAGAGGGCTGAGTCACTGTCCCTTTGTTCCCGTAGTCAGCGCTCACCACCACCAGCTCGGAACCTCTGGTCAGCTCCAAGCTGGGTATTGTTCCTAAAATGGCTCATTGGGAAACTCCTGGCACAAACTCCTTGACTGCTACTTCTGGGTATCATCACTTCTGTCGAAAACCAAGTCAAGGGCCTGAACCACTTGGCCTCTCAAAGAGTATCGCTGCCAGTCCTTGGAATATGAGGAAGCCACCCCCTTGGTCTCAAAGCCTCTCCTGACGCTGCTGACAGAGCTGTTGTTTTTGTTCAGTTGCTAAGTCTTGTCTGACTTTTTGCGACCCCCATGGGCTGCAGCCCGCCAGGGTCCTTATCCTCCACCATCTCCCAGCTGCTGCTGCTGCTAAGTCGCTTCAGTCGTGTCCGACTCTGTGCTGCCCCTTAGACGGCAGCCCACCAGGCTCCTCTGTCCATGGGATTTTCCAGGCAAGAGTACTGGGGTGGGTTGCCATTGCCTTTTCCCCCATCTCCGGGAGTTTCCTCAAATTTATGCCCATTGCGTCAGTGACGTGCTCTAACCATCTCATCCTCTGTCATCCCCTTCGCCTTTGGCCTTCAATCTTTCCCAGCATCAGGGTCTTTTCCAGTGAGTCAGCTCTTCGAATCAGGTGGCCAAAGTAGAGGGGAGGGGTTGTCTTTAGCCCTTCTAAGCAGGTAGAAACAAGTGTTATCCACACTCTGTACCATGGCAGGCTTTTAGAGCAGTGTTCCAGTAAGGTGTAACCACCAGGATTTTTTTTTTTTTTTAATCTGCTTTGTAATGCTTGCCACTCTGTGGTGTAAATCCTCCCACTGTGGTTGAACACAAACTACCAACATGACATCATCAGAGGCGGAGTGGAGAAGTAAGCAACACAGCCCTAGCTTTTTCCATCACGCAGATACAGTAGATATAAATAACTTCGGAACCATGTGTACCGGTAAGATGTATTAAAATAATTAGGAAGTATTGCACTTTGAGAATTTATTTCCTTTTGTTTTCTAATATACTTTATTTCTGGGTAACTTTATATTGTTCCATTGGTAATGCTTGTGTTTCAACAACTGGCTGATAAAATTCCAGAAAATTCCACAATCGGCTCTCTCAAGCCAGTACGGAGTAGATGTTGCTCCAGCACATCACGAGTTAGCTTTCAATGCTCCTGGACCCGAGGCCCCCAAAAGAGTTTGAGAGGAAAGAGGTTAATTCTAGAAATTAGTAGATCATACGTTGCCTGCCTAGAGAAGGAAAGGGAGAGAGGCGTCCCCCTGTGCAGAGTCTCACCCGCTGCCCCTCACCCCCAGGCCTGGCCGTGGCCCCCCCTCCCCAGGGGTGGCAGTGGGACAGATGCTGGGAGAGCACCACAGGCCGCCTTCTGACTCGGCCTGCACTTGCTTTCCCGGAGGGTCACGGCGTCTGCTCTGGAGAAAAACATTTTCATATTTCAAGTGTTTATCTCTTCAGCATTTGAGTGCTCAGAGAGATTAATATCTGAAGATCACCACCGCCCTGGGCAACGGGGGAGAGCACTTACCCTCGTCCCAGCCTTAATCACCCTCCCCCTCTCATTCACTGCAATAATGTTTAATTAATATAATGAGCCTCCTGCACGTTGGGAAAAAATACTTATTTTTATAACCCAGCCTGGATTTTTCATTTCATTTCCTCTCCTTTGAGACTTGGCCCAATTAATTGGTTGTTTTTCCCAACCCCCACTTTTTATACAAACGTAAAGGAGATTTGCAGGGTGTGTGTCTGTGTGTATGCACATTTATAGGTGTGTATTTGTGCATTGTGTGTGTATTTTCGTGCGTGTGTTTCTTTCTCGAGGTATTTGTGGTTGTGTCTGTTTGTGTATACGTTATGTTTTTATGTGTCGATTTTGTGTGTTTGTAAATATGGATATGCATGTGTTTGGTTTGTGTGCATGTGTAAAACGTGTGCGTATGTGTGTGTCTGTATGTTTGTGTGTGAGTGTGTTTGTGGTTTATATGTATGTGTGTGTTTGTGTGTATAAGGGGACAGCTTGGCAAAGGCACTTTGCATGAAGGGGTGTAGATGATACAGCAAGGGGAGATTTACCGAATCTTATTCAGCATCCATCCTCGGGTTCTTTCTAACAATTCCACTTCCTCCCTTGCACTCTTCTGAGCAGATTTTCTCTAGGAAGGCCTGAGGTCAGCCCTGTCCAGGCTCCAAGGCCACTAATTTGCAAGTGACACTTTGGGAAGTGCTTAAGTTACTCTCTGTTCGACAAGGTTCCTCTCTGCCCGCTCCTCGCCCTGCCCTGGCCCTCACCTGATGCCCCACCAGTCAACCCCAGCTACTGGCTGGGGATCCTCATCCTTGCCCTCATTCCGCTTGATTCATCACAGCCTGCGGTTTGAGAGGGCTTTTCAGAGCAATCTCGAAGAGCGGGCAGCAGTCCAACCTTGGCTGGCTAGATAGGGACAGAAAGAAAATTAGGGCCTTGAGGAACCACTAGGTCTAACGCTGTTTCTCCCTTAAGAAACTGAGAAAGAAAATAACAATTTGCCTCTTCCATAGGAATCCCTGAGGTTTACAAAAGCGGCCCTTGGACACTGCCTCCAGAAAACCGAATCATAATATTGTCTTCAGAGCCCTCTGTCCATCCTGCGATGATTTAAAGAATTATTTGCTATATTTCCCACTCTCCTTCTCCTTACAAAACATGACGCTGGATTCTAAGCAGGAGAGGATAGAAAGCCCTTTCAGTTCAGGGTGGTCCTTTTTTCTTCTTCTTCTATTTCTTCAAAAAAAAAAAAAAAACTGGGGCCCCGAGGGGAGCAGTCGGGAGAAAGGAAACAGCTGTGCTTGGTTAGGGGCAGGGCAAATGCTGACGGGTTCAAAATCACGGGGCCTTCTAAGTCAAGCCTGAGAGCCACTGTGTCAGCCACACTTCACCCCTCCACGGAGAGGAGACCGCACCACTCTCTTAAGTGTGCCGCGTGTTTTATCTCCTTGTTAGGTAGGTAAACAAAAGTAATTACACTTAAGAAAGGAGGTTTCTCCATCAAGTGCAGAGGGAGAAGACAGGAAAGAAAAAAGGAAATAGCCATGTTGAAATATCATAACTGGCTATTTGATTAGAACTGTCTGTGGAAACGACTTACATTCCTCAGATGTTTTCTGATTTCGTTCTTTTCTCTTGTTTTCTTTTCTTTTCTTTTCCTTTTAAGTAAGCAATTAGTTCGGTTCTTCTGGCTAGTGGAAAGAGTTGCTTAAGGCTGACAAGACACCCTCTGGTTTTATTCCACTGTTTTTGTTTTTCATGATAGTCTTTCAAGATACTCAGAATTTCTTTTTTTAGCTCTTTGCTTGTGACTTAGAAGCCTGGAGCGTGTTCAGAGTAGCCCCAGGGGACCCTGTTCCGAATTCGTGGAGTGGGCTGCTGTGCCCTCCTCCAGAGGATCTTCCCGACCCAGGGATTGAACCCACATCTCTTTTGTCTCCTGCACTGGCTAGGTGGGTTCTTTACCACTAATGCCACCTGGGAAGCCCTCTCTGAGAAGGCACTTTGCCTTTGCCCTGTAACTGCAATGACACTGAGAATGTCTCCCCTAGCGGGAGCCACTGCATCTCCTGCAGACCTTCTCAGGTGCACTGATCAGAAACAGAATTTAGGTGCACTGGCTAGAAACAGAATTTTGAGGATGATCAGATTCAGCTCAGCAAGGAACAAGGCAAAGACTCCTCAGCAAGGAACAAGGCAGAGAGATGCTGTGGTGAACCTGTGTGTCTAGACCTGCCCTGCTTCATATGGTAGCCACTAGCCACCTGTGGCTAATTTAATTTTAATCAGAATTAAATACAGACAAAACTTCAGTTCCTCCATCATACCAGCCACATTTTAAGGGCTCAGTACCCACTCTGTGTGGGGTGGTACAGATGGAGAATACACCAGTCATCACAGGATGCTGTCTTGATCAGCACTACTCAAGCACCTTTTGACATGAATACGAGAGTAACTTCCAGGGCCCTTGCTGCTGCTGCTGCTCCATGGTTTGGTGTAAATCAAGAGGCAGATAATTAGGGGGATGTGTCTTCTCTTTGATCCTTTCATGGGAGTGTTCAATGCCTAGTACTTCTGTCACTGTGTCATTCTACCTGAGTAACACAGTTAAGTCAGCAAGTAACATAGACAGTGTCAGAACTATCCCATTCAATCAAAAAGAGTAAATACTAAGTAATAGCAATTATAGTAATAAAAATTGTTTTATTATTATTATCTTCAGGAATGTGACAAGGCTAGATACAAAGGGTGCTATGCCAGGTCAGCCTCAGTGTCTTCAAGTGTGTGGTCACCATAAATGTGTGTTCTTTGATATGTTTGTTGACCTAATGAAGTATGACTTCAGTATTACTTCATTTCAATAACTTTAAGTCGTGGAAGTAACATAAAGAAAACAGGCGAAAGCTATTGGGACTAGTTTGCCTTTCTAAAAGGACAGAGCTCTGGCTACCTAGCATTTGTATGTTTATTAGATTGAGAGACCAGAACCTTTACTCTGGATTCAAAAACAAGTAAGAGGAAGTCAAGAATACAATGTTCTGAAATACTCAGATTTTACAAATGGTGGCTATTCCATCAGATGAAGGGCTGTTGTAATGCACATTGGGCTGCTGAATAAACTCCAGGAGCATGGAGGACCAGGACTGTGATTCACTGTGGGACATGCACAAAAGAGGATTAAGTGTAGCTGGGGATGGTCAGTAGATGGTCACAAAGGAATCAGTGAAAAGAGATGAGTCACTTGCTTACAATGGGCTTGATTTTGGGTGGTGAGCTAGCAGTGACTCTTTGAATTAAAAAGCAACTCTCTGAACTCAAAAGACCTTCCTCATAGGTGGGGCCAATGGCAGCAAACAGTCCAGACACGGAATTGCCATTAGCTTGAATTACCTTCAGAAAGCAGTCACTGTGACTTGGCTAGGGCACAGACACTACAGATATGGAGACAGCAACTTCTCAGGCTTAGACCAGGCTAGATTAAAACTAAACAGCAGGAGCAGCTGGGCTAAAAGGAAGCCATATTTAAGGAATAATATCAACTGGAAAAGGAAAGCATAGTGGCCCTTCTATATGGAAAGTAGGGAGGAAAATATCTCTGACTCTAAACAACACAGCAGTAGAGAGGAGAAATATTTTTCTTTATCTTCTGCAAGTCATGATTGGTTGAGTGTGTAGATTGACAGTGAAGCGGCAGTGTGATAAAGAATGTCTCCATTGCAAACCTTCATAAAGGCTGACATACCAAAAAAATCAGCTCCAGATAGACTTCTGCAAAACCCAAGCCTGAAACCTCAAATGTCCACAAACTGGTCAATTGTAAACCTTGAGAACATTCTGTGGAGTTCATCCAAAGTCAATGTTTCCCTTAACCAGTTGTTAATTTGAGGACCTTAGCAGACATAGGCTGACCTTGGGAGGCCAGCTGAGGGGCTCAGTTCTAAGCATGACCTATATGAAGAGACTCCATCTCCTGCAGCACTAAATAGTCTTTCAGATGGCTGTTCTAGCAGGAGGGCAAGATGCTAGCCAGTAGATGTGTGTGTTGGACAGATGGTGTGTTTGGCTTTGCGATAGCCAGGAGGATAGACTGGTGATTTATTTCAGGGTTTGGTAAGGTGTCGGCGCCATTGATTCTGTTGCTGTTGGGCCAGGAACATTCACGTGATCACCCGGCATTTACGCAGCTGAAGCCAGATGTGGTCATAAATTGCCAGGTGAAATGTCAGGAGACCCTTCCTAGAGACAGCAGCGGGTTAAGATGCCTGAGCGACCTTGTCCTCCGCACTTCCTCTCTGCCCTTTTGAACTCCTGTTATTCATTCCCTTGTGATTGTTTTCCCTGTGTCATGGGCAACAACAGATGTTTTGAGTCAAAGACCTAGCAGAATGCCTCTCAAATATGTCAGGTCCAGGAGGAGAGGGATTGTATCTCTGGGACATTTTTGTTTCATTCTCTTTCAGCAGCTAAATGTATTTCCTCTACATTGTTTTCTTGTTGGAAGCCATCCATTGGCGACATCACTGCCATCAAACTACAAAAAAAAAAAGGAGAGCGAGAAGAAGACAACCTCTAGCAGGCAGACCTGGTTCTTAACCAGTCAGTTGTCATGTTTTGGGACCTCTTAACCATCCAAAGGGCTTCTCCTCAAAAGTCCAAGCAAATCAGTAAAGTAGCCCACTCATGCAAGGCCAACCCTTTGCTCTATCAAGTCATCAACAGTCACTGTCTGCTAAAATTTCCTCTGTGTTTGGCAGTTGTGGGCCATAAGGTAGAATATTCCAGAAGAGCAAACTCCATGGACACGGCCTGTGCTTCACTCACAGCAGAGACAGGGATGCCATGACTTAAAGGAGCTGAAGTACTGAACTGAGCAAAGTACACCTCTAAGGAGGCCAGGGTTCTATTTCCTGAGGAAGCGAAGACCAGGGTCTTAATTCTTCAGGAGTGAACTTGTTTCTTAGTCAGATGACAGAAATTGACTGTGCTTCATGGGGAATAGAAGGATGACATGTGTCTAAATGGCAGTGGGAAAACTTAAACCTGAATTGAAGACGTTTCTGACAGGGCTGCACCACCCCACCCCACCCCGCCTCACACACACACAAAAGCACATTGCCAGCATGGCCTTTGTGAACCCCTGCTTTGGAGAATTCAAAGCAAAGGTGGACAGCTGTGCAGGGGGGTGTTTTCAGTGTGGTTCCTCTGGCCAGCAGGGCTGGCCCCTTCTAAACAGTCTTTTGGGGCCCCACTCTCATTCCAGAATCATGTATTCTTTTATTTTGTCTACTGTAGATTGACCCGAAAGATATGTGGTCAACAATGCCTGGTGTATAGCATGGGACTGGCCCATTTCTGGGGTTAGGACATATCTGGAAACCGTCTTATTTCAGAGAACATCTTCCCTGTTCTTGAGCCAAACCTTACTTCCTCTGAGTCTCCAGTTGGTCTTCCCAGGTTATTGGGGCTCTTTGGACCCTTTTACTTTCTAAAACAAAAAAACCCAGCAAAGCTGAAGTTCCAATACTTTGGCTACCTGATGCAAAAAAGTCGACTCATTGGAAAAGACCCTTATGCTGGGAAAGATTGAAGGCAGGAGGACAAGGGGCGACAGAGGATGAGATGATTGGATGGCATCACTAACTCAATGGACATGAGCTTAAGCAAAACTCCAGAAGATGGTGAAGGACAGGGAAGCCTGGCATGCTGCAGTCCATGGGGTTGCAAAGAGTCAGACATGACTTAGCAGCTGAACCATAACAGGAGGCAGAGTGTTCAGAGATGGTAGTTGAAATAAAGATCATAGCTTTTATGGAGCTTCTGCTGTGCCCCTGTTCCTATGTAAAGCACTTTACAAGGCTCTTTCCATTTCCTCCTCCTCCCAGCCCTATGCAATAGTGCTAATATTGTATCCATTTCACAGATGGGAAGACTGAGCCTTTAAAAGATTAGCAAAGGTTAGGATGCCAGCCCCCATGAGAGGTGAGGCTCTGGCGATTTTACCCGCTCCAATGAGGGTTCAGATCCTACTTCCATGCCTCTCTAGTAGTGGTCTGGGACACACTTTTCAATTCTCTGAGCCTCTGTTTTCTTTTTGGTAAAAATGGAGAACATCATACTTATTTCACAGGAAGGTTACCGCAGGCGATGAAGCCCCCAGCGTGATGTCTGGCACCTCGAGGTGCTCAACTCACATCAGTTCTCTTGCCCCTGTCCTTCCTCTCCCGCTCTCTGGGCTCCTCTTGACCGAAGTCATTCCTTTGTGATGTCCCGCTTCTAATCAGTCCTCTCTCAGTGACAGGCGGGGATGTTTTGCAGCTCAGCATCCTTCTGACTGATGTCTCCTGCTAATTCCTTAAATTTACATATCATCTTTCTTCCCTCGAGCTCATAGCACTTAACAGACAAGTGGGGCACAAGTGATTTCACTAAGTGAAATTCAGAGGCCTGCTTGTCTAAAGATTCTGCAAACTAGTGGATTAGCTCAGATGTCAGCACTGAGTTATGATCTTTCAGCTGCTCGTGCTTAGCACGCCACCAGCATTAACTCCCTGGTCTTCCAGTGGTCCTTTAAATCATGCACAGTGATTATCATCTTATTGTGCGAAAGGGAGAGAAGAGAGGAGAGGAAAAGTGGGAGGGGGAGGGGGCCAGCTCATGTCCCCAGGAGAGGCCGTCTGTGACACCTTTGGCCTCACGGTGCCTGAAGTTTTAGCAACAGGATGGGTAAATAAAGCAGACCCAGAGAAAATCCAGCCAGCCTGGCTTTTTACACCTCCACACACATTTTACTGACTAAATTCTAACCATTATGCTATGATTCCCCTGCTGCTTAAGAATGTAAATTCACACAAGTGACAGTATTTCTGCCAAGCAATTTTCAGACAGCCAGTGGGTCTTATTTGTGAAACTGTGAAGGAAGAAGGCTGAATAATAAGTCTCTGAAATCTGGTTTCCTTTACATACGAGGTGGAAGCAGTTAAGTCTTGGAAATGACTGGGGCATGGGAGCATCTGGGGGTTTGTCACTGGCGGCTCGGTGGACTGGATGCTTGCACAGGTCACCTTGTTTTAAGATCTGCGTATCAGTCATAGGTATGTTTACTTTGCAAAAGCTATTGTGCGTTTTTACTTATACATACTCATATATCAGTATAAACGTTCCTTAATAAAAAGCAGAACGTCTCAAAAAAGTCACCTCCCCTTTGAAAAGGGCTGTTGGCCCAGTAGGATGGGAGGGAATTGTGAGATTATATGAACCTGAGGGGTTACAGAGCCCAGCTGATTCCTGATCTGTTCTTGTTTCCAATAGACAGCCTCATCACTTTCTTTATCCATGTGTTTATCATTCATTCATGGGAACAGAAAATTTTGACATATATATGTATGTGTCGCTATCTAGGGGCAGGGAGAAGAAGCATTCTTAACCCTCCTGTGTGTAAGGCCAGGACCTTATAGTCTATCCAAGGAAATAGAAAAGACATATACCAAACAATTTAATTGCAGTACAAGGCAGGAGGCTGAAATGCATGAAAATGGCCTCCAGTCTTTTTAAAAACCAGGTAAAATCAGTGGTATGGTCAGTAAATGCTTGAGTTGTTGAAAGAAGAGAGGCATTAATGTTGAAATGTACAGAGTGGTGAGGAGAAGACCTGGCAAAAGTGGTGGGGTGGGGGTCAGGGGGAAGCAGAGAATTACAGGTAAAAGGAGAAAGGGGAACAGTGCCCAGTAGAGACGCCAGTTTGCCTTAAATCGTATGTGCGTGATCACGTGGACTTGGGACACGGTTACCGGGGGCACAGCTGACGTGAAGGGCCTACTGCCGAAGGCAGAGAAACCTGAAGTCAAGTCCAGCTTTGCCACTCACTAGCCTTTCTACTTTGGACAAGTCACTTGAACCTTTCCCGGCCTCGGTTTCTGCATCTTGTGTAGAGTAAGATTCATAAGACCCAGCTCACAAGCATATAGTGATGATTAAATTATAAAGGCAGATCAACATGCTTTGTAACCTGTAAAGCAGTATGCAGATAGGCCTTATAATTATTATCAATAGTGGCAGTAATGAGATCTGATAGGAGAAGCATAGGTTTAGAAGTTCTTTGAGTGTCTGGTTGTGACACCAGTGTCTCCTTAGCAGATCACCATCACTGAAATTCTCTGCTGTAGACAGCTGCCTCTTTATCTGTGCTAACTCTGACCTTGAAGAGCTCCCATGGTGTGGGGTATTGGGCCCATGTGCCTCTAGATGGTTAAGGTACCCCAAACTGGAATCCTGACTATGCATCTTAAACCGGTCTAATTTGACTTCAGGGGAGGGTAGCTTCCAGAACAATAACCCTGGAGAATCTAACCAGAAGGGACTTAGGGGATATGGGGAGGAGGGAGAGAGGTGGCCAGGAGGAGGGAAGGAGCTGTTTCTGGGCCACTGATGGGAGGACTCCCACAGGCTCTGCTTTCACTAGAAAGGTGATATTGGCAGGTATATAGCAGCACACGGGTGGCCCAGGAGTCCCCTGCTGATTCTGGGCTCTGGAGGCCCTGCCTGTCCTTCCCTGACAAAGATGTTCCCAGTCCCTGTTAAGGAAAAAAAGGTCTGTGCCCACATCTCAGGTTAACATGATCCCAAGGCATCTGATGTGCTGGTTATGTGGTACAAAAGGGCCACAGCCGTCTTGCCAAAGTGTTCAACATAAGATGTTTCAGGGCCAAAAGGAGACAGTGAGATTTTCTGCTCAAATGCCATCCTGTTCTCTGTGCAAGTGGTCAGAATGCTCCTGCATGAACTCGATTTGCCGGTGCAGGTCCCCACACCTGCGTCTGCAAGGCATGAGGTCTGCCAACAGGGAACTCTGCCTCCCAGAGTACCTGATGTATTTAAAGTGCATCAGCCAAAAGACACATTCTTCAAACATTTGGATGGGTGAAACCTTCATCTCCCAATGTGTGTATGAAAAGTGAAAAATGAAAGTGAAGTCGCTCAGTCATGTCCGACTCTTTGTGACCCCATGGACCATAACCTACCAGGCTTCTCTGTCCATGGGATTTTCCAGGCAAGAGTACTGGAGTGGGTTGCCATTTCCTTCTCTAGGGGATCTTCCTGACCCAGCAATCGAACCTGGGTCTCCCACATTGCAGGCAAATGCTTTACCATCTGAGCCAGCAGGGAAGCTGCTAAACACATAGCTTTTGTTAGTGATGATGACAACACCTATTTTATTGGTGCTGTATTTGCCTGACTGTCTCTGAAAGGCCACATTCAAGCCTCCCCAGGCTGGGGCAGGGAAGGGAGTGGGGTCTCAGGTCCCTTGCATCACCCCTTTGTTGTTCATTGTTCAGTCGCTCAGAACTTTCTGACTCTTTTCAACCCCATGGACTGCAGCACAACAGGCTTCCCTGTCCTTCACCATCTCCTGGAGCCTGCTCAAACTCATGTCCATTGAGTCGATGATGCCATCCAACCATCCCCCACTCCTGCTCAGCCACCATTCCCTGCTCTGCTTGAACAAGGATGCTGGGCTTCTGAGCTGCAGTTACTAGAGTCCAGGCTTCATCCAGGAGCACTGTTGGAGACAGAAGGTTGTAAATGTCTTCCAATTGGACAGTGCCCAGCCAAGATGATAAAGGCTTGAAGCATAAACTACCTGGCCAGAACCATCCTCTAGTCTAGCAGTCACTTCACTCCTTATTTTTCAGTTCATTACAGTGCCCTGGCCCTTTGGGTAAGCCGATGATGATTAAAATGTGGGCTTGGCCTCTCAGAATCTAGGGGGGAAAGACAAGCACCAATACAGCCAACCAAGACCTAAGACGGATGATACTAGGTGCCATATGTAAAAGGTACAAACGAAGGGATGCAGAGAAAATAGGCAGGAGGGACCTTCTTGACATAAAGACTCAAGAAAGGACTTTAAGGGATGCAGCATTTGAATCAGAGCCCTAAGAAAGGAACACAGAGCCTGGAGAACAAGTTCATAAATAAAGGACACCCGAACTCTGCCCCGGCTTACCCCCCACCCCCCGAGGGGCCATAACTGCCAGCTGGTCTCCTTCCCAAGCATTTACCAGGGACCTCTGTTTGGGTCTGTTTCCCCCTCCAGATGACAGGAACTTCCTGCGGCTGCAGAGTGATGGGCGGAACGAGGGCCAGTACGCGCGACTCATCAGCCCACCGGTCCACCTGCCGCGGAGCCCCGTGTGCATGGAGTTCCAGTACCAAGCCACGGGCGGCCGCGGGGTGGCGCTGCAGGTGGTGCGCGAGGCCAGCCAGGAGAGCAAGCTCCTCTGGGTCATCCGCGAGGACCAGGGCGGCGAGTGGAAACACGGGCGCATCATTCTGCCCAGCTACGACATGGAGTACCAGGTGGGGTGGCTTCGGGAGACGGTGCGGAGATCCGAGGGGATCCTTGTGATCTGCGTTTCAATATTTCAAAGGCCGTGCCCATTCATCATTAGGGAACGCGGTTAAGCGCCGCTGTTTTCATTGTGTTTCTCCCGTTGCCATGGCAACTAAATGACACTCTTATTTGTTATTCAGAATGTGCCTATCTCTACACCCAGACTTGGTTCTTTGTTCCTCCTATTGCCTTTTATACTGCTGAAATCTTCCCCAACAAATGTTTCTTCTCTCCATTTTATTTTAGATTGCTATCAGGTAGGCTGACAAAGGAACACAGAAGCCAGGGAAATGAACGCAAACAAACCCTCCACAAAGGGGAAGAGAGGCCCTGGGAACCCCTGAGACTCAGAGGAAGAGAGGGCAGCAGCCTCCCCGCCCTGTCCCAAGTGTTCAGGTGGCTGTTGGTGCTTAGCGGTCAGCAGACCAGAGAGGCTCCTAAATGAGTGGGTTCTCACCCTGCAGCTCCAGGAGTTGAGTTCTCTTATCTCTGCCCCCACAGAGCAAGAGACTGAGGCACAGATGGGGATGCGCAGCTGTGGCTGAAACTTGGGTAGAGGAGGCGCTGTGCAAGAGGTGACTGAGAACCAGCCAAAGCATTAACCTGCTCCTCCCCAGACGAGAGGCAGCAACAGATGGCTGGTGAGGCAGCCAACTGCTCGCTCAGCTTGCCAGAGGACATGTGCTCGTTTGCAGAGAGAACCTGGGGAGGGCGAGATCGAGGGCTGACTGGAGGCCACTGAGCCGCGAGGCTCCTGCGTGCAGCCTGCAGTCGTTCTCACGCTTGCAAAATAGCCCGAGTCCCACCCCCACCTGCCTTCCTGCTTAAAAACCTCAGTGTGTTGTGGAGCTACTCCCTGTTGGTGTTTTTATCTCACCCACTAGACGGTGAGATTCTCCAGGCAGAGGGTCTTGTCTTCTTAGCTTTTGTAACTGTCAGGGTGCCTGGCACATAGTAGGTGCTAAGCAAACTAGTGGTGAAGAAAAATCACTTACCTTCTAGTTGTAATAATGGAGCCGTAAGACACTGTTACCCCCAAGGTAATTCAAACCTGTACATTACATTTCTCACATTACCCCTACCTGCTCATGTCCTCTTGAGTTTCCAAATACCTGGGTTGAGCATTTGAAAGATTTGCGAGGAAAAAGAAAAAAATCAAACATGGCTAGGGAAATTTCAACTCTCCTTTAAATGTGCTCTGATTGTAGTCCTTTTAGTCAATACATTCTAGTTACTGGACAACAATACCCACCACTTAGTTATATACATGTATTTTTTAATCCCCTTAAATATGCATTTGATTTCAACCAACTCATTTTAAATTGAGATTTCAAGTACCAGAGCCATGTGGTCAACAGATGTGTACCAGGTGCAGTAAGGCGCGTGTACATGTGTGCACGTGCGCGCGCACACACACACACAGATTTTAAGCTACAGTTAACAGAAGACTGGAAATCTTTGCACTGTTTGCACCAAGAAGCTCAGTTAACCCTGGCGCTTTTTCTTCCTGCTTCTAGATTGTGTTTGAGGGAGTTATAGGAAAAGGACGTGCGGGGGAAATTGCCATTGATGACATTCGGATAAGCACCGATGTCCCGCTGGAGAACTGCATGGGTACGTGAATATCTGTCTCTTCGTGTCTCCTCGTGTCGAGGGCCGGGATCCACAAGGGGAGGCAGCACCTTGTTTTCAAACACAGCTGTTCCCCCGGTGGGTGGGGCAGCACCAGTCCATGCAGGACGTGAGATGTGAGTTCAGTGAGAGCTTAGGCTGCAGTCAGGACGGGAGAGGTGTCAGAACGGGTGGAGTCCTATATCCCTGCTCCCATTCAGAAAGAGGCATGCGCTTAGTATGTGAAGATTCAGGGTGCCAAGACCCCATCATCACACTCCAGCTTTTAGCAAAGAAAATGCTAGAGGACGAGAGCAACTGCCAGTCAGAATTACATGCTGGAAAGGTTTGATGGATTTAATGGAAGCCTTCACTGGTGAGCAGAAATAGTACATGTGTTATATTGGAGTGATAACACAATTACAGGCAGTTCTTTTACATGAATGAATTGCAGGGCGAGCTATGGCATGTGAAATAAGAGTTCAGATTTTGCTTTGAAGCTAATATCTCTAATGCCCAACATGCCAGAGTTGTAAGATTAAACATTGCATGCCCAGTGACCAGCACAAGAAGGACCCTGTCTCCTTGGACAGAAGTGCAGAGCACCCAGGCCACCTAGTTCACCCCGTGGACCACCTCCCATCAGAGCCATGGGCATTCCCAAAAGCAAGAGGAAATCCTGAGAAGGAAGGAGACCTACTTTCAGTCCGCAGAGTGACTGTTAATAACTCACCAAGTGCTTTTCTTGGCACATGGGTCCCGGGTGTGTGTGTGCCTGATGATGTCAGAAGCACCTGGGACCACCCTAGTCCCTTCAGGCAACTCTCGGGGCCCCGGGCATCTAAAACTAATCCAGGCTCTGAGAAAGTAATCAGTGGTAAGTGACTGATTACAATGCTTCAGGGACCCATTACTCTATAAAGGACTTTTTGTTCCAAAGCAACTTTGAGAATCTTTCCCACCTGGCCCCCATGACAACGATGTGTTAGACCCAGAGCCTGTGGTGGGCATGGGAGACTTTGTGGGATAGTGTGAAAAAGCTTGATGAAACTCATCTTCATCATACTCTGTGTTCACCTTATATATTTCTCTCATCTAACTCAAATTTTTTTGGTTTTTTTTTGTTTTTTCAGAACCCATCTCAGCTTTTGCAGGTGAGGATTTTCAAGGTAAAAAAAAAAAGTTATTTTTAAATTTCTGCATGCCTTTTCCTTCCTCCCATGTGATGTGAATTTGGCAGAGGCGATAAGCCTCCAGATTTGACAAAGCTCCCGAGAGAAAAATAGATGCCACACCTTCTCACCGCTAGATGGCGCCAGCAACACCTGTAGATATGGGGAAAGGGCGATTGAGAGCTTCACTGTCTCTGGATTAATTAAAGTTTAGAAACCTATAATAGAGACAAATAGGTTACAGATAAACCTTTCAGCTTTGCATTGTCCAATAGAGAGCAATGAGGCTGAAAATGCATGAGTGGTGAGAAAAGAGAGGCTGTGGGGAGACTGAACCAAAAAAAAAGAAAAAAACGTCAGTAGTAAATTAAAAGTGAAATGAGGTGGCAATGATTTATTTTCGACCAAAGATGGTTTCTTTCCAGTCAGAGGGCACCAAGGCAGCGGTCTCAATTAACCCTCCGCGAGGTACACAGTTGTGTGAGGGAAGGAAGTTAGGGGAAAGACATGAGGAATGACAGTCCTCAGCAGAGAAGGTTGCAGAAACCTGGAGGCGGTGTCTGGTTAAGGGAAGAAGAAGGCTCATTTGGTGACTGGAATTAGAGCACTTGAAATACAGGACTGAAAAACAGAAAGGGACATTTTATCCCTAATAAAGTAAATAGAGAACAGAGCAAAGAGAGAGGAATGTGGGATGCCTGCCTTATCCCAGGAGGGAAAACTAACCTCCAAACTTGGGGGTGCTAAAATGCAGTGTATTTCACATCTCACCCTGTCTGGAATCCTCTTGGTTGACACTGCTAACGTTTCCACCCAGGTTCCAGTGCTGAGGATTTGGAAACCACTCTGTAAATGCTTCCCATGAGTTGGCCCGCGTGTATAAGCACACTCAGAGACACTCACCCACACCTAATAACAGAACCTACTTTATGCAAACAATCCCGAGGGTTTCGATGCCCTGTTTACATTGGCTGGCCTTAACCCCACAGGTGACAGCATTTCAGAGATAAGGGAAGTCGTTTTTATATCTGAAGTCTAGACTCGTTATCTTCACTCTCATTAATCTGTCCAGCTCCTGGCTGGACGGAGATGAATTCCTGGTTTGCCACCTAGATGTGCTCTCTGACTTCAAATCATCTCGCCCAATTTGCCACTCATCACCCACAGCGCTAAGACAGCAGATGAGGGAGAGGGCCGCAGGATGGGGGGTGGGAAACCTATCTAGGATGTCTTTTCTTTCTTCCTCGCCCTTCCTGGCCTCCCTGAGCCCCATCCCCACTCCCCATTGCACATTTTTCAAGTATTAAGAGTATTCCTGTGCATGTGTTGGCGCTCCATGGGTGTGAGATTTTCTGTTAACGCGAATCTAAAAGTATCGGAAGGAAAAGCTGAGATCAAAACTGAACGGCTTGGATTACAGTTGAATTCAAGTTCTAACTTTCGGGACCCAAGGTAACGTAGATCCTGGGGAAGTAAACTTGCTTACGTTGTTTCACGTGACTTTGATTGCCGAGACTCAAAGCTCGCAGGAAAGGCTGGTTAGGGCCTTCAGCCCCCACGGCAGACACTCTGCTGTGTGAACATGAATGTCTGGGTCCATGACTGACAAGTTCAGTGGCCAAGTGCCTTGCTTCTGTAAGTGAATAAACAAACCAGGGCACATGTGCTGTCGCGGAGGCTGTATTTACCATGAGGCTACACAGGCCAGTCATGTTCTCTTGTAAAATATATGTGTAAATAAAATGGCCTCAGAGCTGCAGTCCTCACTTAGCCAAAATAAACGCAGGGCGTAGGGACCCCAAGGTAAGAATTTCCAGTGTGCTTCCGACGGGCTGGTTTGGGGCTCCAGCGCAGGCAGCGCTTGAGTGGCATGGATTGGCCCACGGCTGTGGTCTTGGGAAATAGCAAGCATCTTTGGAAGGAGGAAACCAAACTCCAGAGACTTGGCTCGGGAGTCAAGAGCAGGATGGGAATTGAGAATGGACAGTGTCAATCGCGTTGGCAAGTTTTAC